TGGTAGTCCCGATCGATACACGTGAGCCCTTCCATCCCACTTTGGTGGGAGCGCCACGTCACCACCTGGTTTTAAGACAAGCGTGAGATGAGGTTTCTCAGGGTTACTGGTCCAAATGCCCAGCTGTCACAGGGCTGAGCCAGGGAGAGGATTATGCTCTTAATCACATTACCTCATTTCTATGGGCTTCTTTTAAAGTCCTCCTGTCCCCTTCCCTCCAGCCAAATGGACTAGTGTCTGAAACCAGAGCTGCCTCTCTGACACTTTCGCCTTGCGGAATGTCTTTGCTTTGAAAGAGCCTTTGTTCAGACAGCAAAACCCAGGCTCGGAGGTCCTGGGGCATCATGGTTGGCTTCTGCAAAATTGCAAGGCTGAGTTCACCTGACACAGAACTTAAGAAGTAAGGTCCAAGGTGTCCGCTTTGGACCTATGAAACACACAGCCTGGCATCTGTATGAGGACAGTCGTTCCTTAGGCACAACAGTTTAAAGACACCCTGCAGAAACCTCCAGGCTCGTTAACAAGCACCCAAGCAAGCAAACACAGTAATTAAAAATCTGAGTTGTCTGAGGTATTCCTTTCCCATCTAAGTGGGGGCATCCCTGGGGCTCCAGCTAAAATACTTGCTACACCTGTTCAGCCTCTGTTGCCTCCTCACAAGACCAGTGAGGCTGACTGCGGCAGACGGCACCAGATAAATATAAGGTTGCCCTGGTAGGATGGCTTGCCTCTCACCCAGAGCTCCTGCCCACCCCTTGCCTTGGCAGAGATTTTCCCAGTAGGCTTAGCTGGGGGAAGTGTGGAGCCTGTGAAGATGGACTGAGGTTGCCATACCACGGAGGGAGGGCATCAGGTCTTTCCATCAAATGTTGCCCCGAGGATCTGGGTGAGCGGCGGGAAGAGGCGATGGACATGTGTTCTGCTCAGCTGTTTTCCGTCAGCTTTGGGATCACAAGCAAATCCTCCCTTCAGTTCCATCTTCCCCTATCATTATTTTCTAAATGGACCAGCTGTGGGCCATCCTTTCAGTCCCATGAGAGGACACTTGGGGACAACTGGGCAGGACAAACTTGCCAATCATGTAAGAAGGAAGCTTTTGTCTGGCCTTGGAGGGACATTCTGAGAGTGGCTCTCTGCTTCGGAGACATGGACCTGGAAGTGGGCTTTCCCCTCAAGTTGCCCCTATCAATGGGGCCTATCACTTGGCACGTTTCCAGCTGCCTGTACCCATGCCCTGAGACCAGCTATTTTCCGTATTACTGCCAGGTGGCTTCTTAAGAGCATGGATACACATGGTGCTGCACGGTCTCCAAGCAGGGGAGGGCTCTGGTGCTCAGCAGTTAAAATCCTAGCACATAAGGAGTCAGGTCTTCCAGTCCATCCTCAGCCTTGTCCTCACAGGTTCTTACAGGCCCTGTTCAAGGCAAACCAAACTTTTCCTTTTCCCACACAACTCAAGCTGCCCTTGCATAAGCTAGCCCCTTTCTGGGCTAGATGGCCAGAGAAGGCTTCTCTTAAGAACCAGTTCAAAGTTGGCCATGTGACCTAGGTTCAGGGGACCTTGCTCAGTACTTGGTCCTTACCTTTGTAGGGTGATTAAAGGAGCTATGTTAATCTCTCTATGCAAATGTGTAGATAAAAGCAGTCAACTCTGCACAGCATGCCGGCAGTATGGATGGACGTCAAGAAACAGCGCTTGTGAATATGGCCAATTCCATGATATGCTTACTCTGATACTCATTCACTAGACACAATGACTATAAACCAGCACAAATGTGCATTGTAAAAACCAGTTAGAAGTGATTTACAGAAAGAAGACTGGGCCAGACGAAGGCATCACTCTAGATGTGAACTGAGGCTTACAGCAGCTTCTCACACTCCAACTGGCTAAGGACATATTTTTACTACTGAAGGTCTCAAGTAAAATATCATAGCCAAAGACTTATTTAAGTAATCGTTTTTAGAAAGTCCCCAGAGGAGAAATCCTGACATAGGCATTTCATAACACTATGCTGAGGGGTGGGGGAGCAAGTCACCTCCCAACGTGACTTCCGCCATCTTCCCAGTTACAAGAAAGAAATGCTAACAGGGAGCAAACTCCAGCGCCCTCCACCTTATCCATATGTAAGCAGGCTGAAGTCACATCTGTGCAAGGATCTATTTTTAGTGGACCCTCCATGCTAAAAATCCTAGCCTTGATCTCTAACTATGAAGTCTACCGTAAATGTTTGATGATGAACCAACCCATAAAAAGAAAGAACACGAAATGAGCAGAGGGAGTCAGTGCGTGTTTTGCCTTTTAATTACAGAGGCTTCTGCTAACATCCTGCTCCAGGCTGGGTGCAGGCAGAGGAAACACATCAATAAGTTGGGTGGAGGGAGCAGGGGGAGGATACTGCAAAACAAATATGTTTAACTACGTTTGCACTGCAGACACCAGGTAGAGCTGGAATCGTATCCTAAAAGGGCTTAAAAAAAAAAAAAAGAAAAGAAAATTGAAGACATAAACAGAAGCATTCAGGACACAAAAGATAACGTAGAACAGTCTGGTTTTATTACTCATGAGTAACAAAGAGCCCCTTCCTTGCTTTTTCTTTCTTCTCCCCTTTCTTTTTCATTTTCTTCTTTTTTTCCACAGCATACATTAAACTGTCAGATGTTAGGGTTGTGTAGAGACGGAAGGGAAAGTGGTGACATCACAATAGTTTGTACAACTGTACAACCGATGTAAGTCCGAGTTCGTTGCGTCTACGGTGTCTAGCAGGGTGGAAAGGCACACTCAGGTTTGTGGATAAACCCCCAGCACAGGGTGAGGGCAGAAAAGGAGAGGGACACTTAAATGCTAAAGACCAGCTCGATATATGTGGTACTGTGGGATGAACACCGAAAAGGGTGGGTTGTGGGATGCAGGGATGTGGGTTTTGACGCAGGTCTCCTTAACACAGTTGAGGCAATGATGCCCATTACCCGGGGGGGGGGGGGCAATACTTTTGGGAATCAAACGTGACTGGGCACCCATCACCTTTCTGATGTTTGTATTTGCAGAGAAAAGGCAAGGGAGAGGACAGAATCTGTTTCTAGAAAGTCTTCGTGCTCTCAGGGTACAATAGTTATAGGTCAGGAACAATGACTCCACTAAAGGACAAAAATAAAGCCCAATGAGGTCTTCTGTACCCCGAACAACAGCCTCACTGATCTGCCAAGGGACTCTTGGGACAAAGGGCTGTGCACCTGTCCTCAGCTGTAAGCTCCGGGCTCCGGGCGACTGCTCTAATTGTAGACACAACACAGTAACTAACCAATTCAAATTGGTCTTTGTCAATCTTTTTTTTTTCTGAAAGTTTATTATTTTATTTTTAAGACACACTAAGTCCAGACCAAATTGGAAAAAGAAAGAGACGAAGAGACCACCGAATGAACTGTTTATATGAAAACAATGCTCATGGATTACAGTGTGCCGACAATTCTTTTGTTTGTAATGGAGTAAACAAAGGTTCCTTCTGTGTGCTTTAGCAAAAGAAAAACAAGGGGGGGGGGAATAAACAAACCACACACACACACTACCCACTCCCAACTCTCTACAAACAAACAGGTAAAGGAATTCAAAACAAAACAGAACGAAACAAAAGAACCTTTGCCCCAGAGAAGGATGCTGCAGCATCCATTGTGGTTTGCCTTGTATTTGGGGGTACCCATTAATCGCAGCAGGGACCAGCCTGCCCCATCTATTTCCTTGTTTTCTCTGTGCATTGCACGGGTGTGCTGAAGGCACAGCTTGGAGACTCCTCCCATTTGCCTCCCTAACCACCGCAGCACGTTCTTCTTCCGTCAGTGGAAGAAATGACGGCCGGGAGGGACTTCAGTCCCTTCTCTGCTGGCTCAGGAGGATGTCACCATTTTGAAATGATCTGGGAATATAAGGGGAGCACCCACAACACTGGGGGTCCATGCTTGCAGCATAGCCAAGGGGGGTTGGAGTTGGCACAATTGAAGGCATCGTGAACTGGAAGGTGTCACCCAGCCTTTGGCCTTACGACCGTCACTACTGCATTCTTTTTCCATCTGCTTGATCCAGTCTTCCAGAGGGCTGAGTGAAGGGTGGGGCTTAAATAAATATCTGCATTTATTTCAAGTAGGAAGAAAAAAAAAAAAAGGTTGATCATAACGACAGTTTACAAGTGTGTACAACCCAGGGTGTAAGGCACAAATTTACATGTGGAAAACAGGCTATTCACAGATGTAACCCACGAAACACCCATGTGACCAAATCATTAATTTATGCAAGGTAGCAGCCAGCATATTAATTAGTTCACACAGTTTGTGGATTTTTGTTTGCTGTCTCATATGCAAGGTGAAATGAGATGGGGCGGGGGCTTCACAAGCTGGTGCCATCCTGACAGTGGGAGCCTCAGACAAAGCCATGTTTTCTGCAATGGGGCATAGGTGCCATTCGAAACATTTCTGTCCCAGTAAGTAGTTAGGATCTGGAAGGATTTTTAAACGTTTTTTTTTTTCTTGGCCAGAGATCCAACTGACAAATTAACTAGGAGATTTAAATAAATATCCTCTCTTAGCACTGCCCTTTAGCTACTGACCCGATCGTCTAAACACAAAGCTCAGAATTCCAGCTCCAACTTATTTACTGAGTGAATTTATTGTAAAAATAAAGAAACTCGATTATTCCAGTTAATGGATTTCACGTTAAATAGTTTAACTTTCCACGGGTTTCTGCAGAGCTGTTCATACGGTGGCATTGGGAAGAGTCTTTTCCTTAAGGAAAAAGAAACGGGCGAACAATAAATAAGAGTTACTTGCGTTAACGGTCACGTTATTCATTAAAAGCGAAGAGGAGCAGAAATCTATGACATCGTTGCCCAACATGGCATTTATCTGCTATCACAAAGTTGTAACACTGGTGGGCATTTCACAGTATCTGCGCATAGTAAACTTCTGCCATTGTTAAAGTCTGAGTTAGAATTATCAATGAATTCTTTAATTTTTTTTTTTTTTAAGTTTTCTTGTTTTTTTTTTATTTTTTATTTTTTGAAAAACTGTGTTTGTGTTTTAAAGTTTCGAACGCTTAACCCAGTTTGGTAACGTCCCGTGAGGTCAGGGACAAAAATGTTGTTCACCCCTGCGTGTGTGTGGATGTGTGTTTCTGTGTGTGTGGTGCGTGCATGTGAGCGTGGGGTGTGCATGTGTGTTCGTGTGGCGATGGGGTGCGGATGTGCTTTTGGCTCATGTTCTTGACGATACTGAAGTCTCTTGTGAGTCCGACCTGCTGTACGATGTGGGCGAGTGTGAAGAGATAATGGAGGTGGCTGTTGCTAACCCTTCACCAAACCACATGGCCTGATTTTCAAGAGGGTCCCTGCGTCCCAGGGAGGAGGACCCAGCGTCCTCAACTCCTCCAGGGCCATCTTGGTCGGGTGGATACTCGAGGCAGTGGAGACCTTGCTGAGCTGGATGGCTGCCTCCGCCTCGTCTGATGCTTCGACGCCTGGCCCCCAACCCCAGGGATTATGTACACGCATCATTGGGCTTCATGGATGTGGAAAGGGGAGCAAAGGAGGGTTTGGGGGGTACGTCTGGCTTTAGCGAGGGGGTGCGCTTCAGCCCCGACCTTGTCAGTGAGTTGTAGGCATTGAGGCTGGGCTGCCTCGAAACAGTCACGGCCTGGCCAGGGGGCTGGGAGCTGTGCACCTGGATGGAGTCTACCCGCTGCGGGGCGGGAGGCGGGTTGTCTCCCCGGCCAAAGCTCTGGTTCCTGGAGAGGTGGGAGGAATTGGAGGAGTTAGTATTGTTTCTTTTGAGAGTGGTGGACTGGTGGCTTCTCGTGAGCGAGTTCGTGGGGTAGCTCCTCTTATACTCAAGCCCGTAGGAGGAGGAGTGATGCATTTCCAGCCGCTTGCTGAGGCCGGTCTGCGACAGTGAGGCTCCCGGGGGGCCCAAGGAGGCCTCGCGCTGTGGAACTTTGGGGGGCAGGTTGTCCAGGTTCTCCACAAGGTTCACCCCGTGGTTGGGACTCTTGCTGCTCAGATGCTCTTTGATGGTCTTATACTCCAGAGTGGCAGCCTGGTCCTCCAGAGCCATCTGAGCCACCACCTCGCTCATTTTGGGCTGATCCACATACTCATGCTGGTAGCCCTGTTGCGTGATGGGCAGGACCACCACGCTGGGGATGTGGCTTGGGGAGGCCCGAAGGGGCAGGTCCGTGGGAATCACAGGAGAGCCCATAGGGGGCATGTCCTTGGTGCAGGCATTGATGAGGTTCTGGTTCCTCTCCCACTCGCGGCTGCCGCGGTTGGGCTTCCGCTTCTGCTGCAGCGTAGGGGTGGATTCTGGGGTGGGCAGGGCGGTGAGGTCTAGGTGGTGCTGATCAGCCTTGATCAGCATCTTGGCCGTGTTGCTAGGCGTGGCCAGCTTGCCATTGTGCATGAGTGGCGTGAGGATGGCCTCGGGCTTTGGGTCTTTGGACTGGGTGTCCCCAAAGAGGCCACTGAGCTTGGTGACACTGCTCATCGATCCCCGACGCGAGTGGGTGAGCTCTTTCTCCTTGCGCTGCGCTACTGTCACATCTTTGCGCCGGTGATCACACACACAATACACGGTGATGCCTGAGAAGACGGCCCCCATGACAAAAGCCAGAATGACTGCAATGGCCAAGAGGGTGACAGGAACGAGCTGGTCGTTGCTTTTGAGGTAACTTTCCCGAATCACTCCTGTAATAGACACCGCACATGGCATTAAGAAACAAACAAACGAACAAAAATCGTACTGTGAGGCGTACTGGTGGTCGGCAATCACACTGTTAATTCATAACAAAAATAAGTGTCAGCAGCACCTCTGCATAGCTTGTCTTCAGGGTACAGCTTGCCAAACATTAACTAATTAATCCTCCCTGCCCCCATACCACCCTAGCCAGCCCTGGGCCGTATGTAAATTAATTTTATTTGCTGTCCTCTTGGTGGCTTTCATTCTCTCTGGCACGCGATTTTTCAACTTCTTTCTAAGGAGGATGGCAGGTTCAAAATTTATTTATCTGTCTTTTCCTTTTGATCTTTTGCACCTTCTATAGAATTAGAATAAATGAGCTACTTTGAGTCAGGAAGAAGCGGCGACGATTTTATGCATGTTAAATGAACAAATCACATAACAATTCCCGCTTCCCATTCAGGCTTTTCTGAGGACTACCTGCGACAACAGGGGCTGTCTGTTTCTGAAGCAACAAGAGGAGAGAGGGTGTATGTCACCACAGTGAAAAATAGCTCAAGCTTGCAGGTGACAATATTTACATTTATTTTGCATCAAAAAGGAAAACCCCGGCACTCAATTTCAGGTAAATATGCAGCAGAACGGAAAGAATATTTAAATCAGGGGCCCGCTGCGGGCTTGTAGAGTGTCAGGTCCTATTATTACTCTTAGGGTTTTGCTGTCACCACGAGATTCTTCAGCAGAGCTGATCTTGTCGATTTCATAAAAATTCAGTGGCTACCCCCGTCTATTATTTTCTACTACATTAACCAAGAAGCCTCATTTCTGGGGGGGGGGGGGGAGAGGGGGGGCGGGGACTTGCTTTTTCTATCCTGCTTAATCAGCCACCAAGCTGAGCGGCTCTAATCAAATGCAAAAACACTGAAGCTTTTATTTTTTAATACCAAGTGTGAACAGACACCACAACCCTCAGATCCTAAGTGCTTGATGCCGGTAGCTAAAATAAAAAATAAAATCCCCAAGACTTCCGTCCCTGCCTCTGGAGAGCGAAAGAACACGAATACATTAGAGGTACCGCGTGAGGAAATGTAAACACTGTTCCTATTATGGAAAGACGGCAAGACATAAAAGGTACCTTGTCTGGTCTCTGGAGACACATTTTTCACCTGCTAAACCAACTCTTTCTGGAATATGTTTAATGTATTTTGCTGGCAAGTGTAAGTGGCATTGAATTAAAATGAAATGAAATAAAAATCTATCCATCCCCAAACTCATAACACTCATCCCTTAAACTTCTGCTGATTGTCGCTGTTAATGTTTGAAATGTCACAGCCCAGACCTAGAAGAGACACAGCTCTGTCAGGAGAGGGTGTCTACTGAAATATTTTGATTCCTAAAGTGATGGTTTAGAAACCCAGAGGATCTAGCTGGAAGATCATGCTTCTCTCCCTAGCATCCTCTTCAATTCTGACATCACTGGGGCTTGCTGGGGGTGGGACGAGGCTGACTGTGCTGTGACAAAGGATTGGGACTTCCAGTGGGAGTAAACAGAAGTAGCAAACACCTTTTAAGAGGCAAAATTTTATGATTAAACATATACCCATGGTGATGAGGGGTCGAGGTACCCCATGGAAAACAAGTGGAAGATGGAAAGCTATTGAATAATTTCCTAAGGTGGCACTTTTCAAATATTTCCAGACTTATCTTCAGAAGCTTTTTAAGGGGTAAGAGCCAAAAAAGGGAAGGAGGGGAAACACACACACACACACACACACACACCAAAAAAAAAAAAAACCCAGCAAGGAAATGTGGTTCTAACTCACACATTATATGTGTGGTGCTCCCCAGACGATGGGGTGTCTTGAATTCAAATGTTTTAATACCTACACCTGAAAGAAAATGTGAACATTTCTTTCTAAAATTTGCATTTTCTTATTGTTGTGTTAAAGTAACAACTGATTTTCCCTCAATTTTGGCTGTATATGGAATTCTATTGCACACATTCTTGACTCCCTACCCATAAATGCACAAATGAATGTGCACATCTGTGAAGAAAATGGCTTCCTTCTTTCTCATTGATGTGGTGAGCTCCACAGTTCTAGCCATGGCGAGACTCCCATCCATACAAGGTGGTGGGTGGACGTTCTCACCACAGCGGGCGTTTCCCAGAGTCCCTTTAGGTGCTCACGTTTCGTGGGGATTATCTTCCCAAGAAGTGTCTAATTATTAGAGGAAGCTGCCTACAATGGAATTCGGTGTTCTAGAACTTCAATAAATGGCTATTTGTCTAGATTCTCAACCTTCCTCCCGCTGCGACCCTTTAATACAGTTCTTCACTTCATGTCGTGGTGACCCCCAACCATTGCTATTTCAGAACTGTAATTTTGCTACTGTTATGGGTTGTAATGTAAATACGCGCAAGAATGGTCTTGGGGGACCCTTGTCATGACCTCAAAGGGGTCATAACCCACAGGTTGAGAAGCTCTGGTTTAGAAGGTACAAGAACTAAAGCTGAGTGTTGAGACCAGATATCAAAAGAACTCCCCATTTAACATCTTCCCCCAAATGACACAATCACCAAGTGCAGTGTGTTTTCTTCCATGACAGCAAGCTTGGTGATGAGTGAGAGGAACACAAGGAAGCTGCTCCCTTCACCACGTAAGTCTAGATAGGCAAACTAGTGAGTTAGAAGGCTAGTCCCAGGAAATAAGGATCTTTGTTCTGACGACTTGCAAACCAGAAAGCCATCTTCTAACCAGAGCATCCTAACTAGCCGGGTGCCATTAGTCCCACACCTCTGCAACCACACATCCCGTATACAAAGTACCACCGCGCCCGCTCCTCCTTCTGCAGGTGGCCCTTTTATAAGAGGGTGGACTCTCATCTCAAAATGAGTTCAACCCCTACCAGCCAGCCCCTTGCCTGTTGACATGATCTCCCCACCATGCAGGGAGTGTGACTTTAGTACAATAAGGCTAGAATAACTCATTTATTTCATTGGGAGTTCTGTGCGATTACCACATGTATCCATTGCTTCTTATCCATAATTTCAGCTCCTAATACTCTTCTGGGTCGAAAGGTCTTCAGTTGTCTGATACTCATAGAAACCACTTACTCTTTCACCAGCAAAGACATTTTTAGCTGATGACATTTGAGTTCAGATTTCTGGTTGTTAACAAGTCAGGTTAGGATATGACGTCTCCGGAAAATGGTGTGATGATTTTCTCATTTTGCTGTGTAAACAGTACCAAAACCAAAACCAAACAAAAACATTTCTGTATCTCTTCATCTTTTAGGTGACTAAAGCCAGGAGTTGGAGTGGGACTCTTTGCTCATCTGTTTAGACAAATTCAAAAACCCTAAGCTCCATGTTCAAAACAGATCAGATATTAAATGGAACAGGAAGCTGGGAAAGGGGATTTTATTTTTGGAAATATCTTCCAAACTTAAAGATTTCGGTGTACATCATGAAAATCAATAAAGGAGTATTCACGGCAATGATCAAATTAACTTTGCAATCTAGCCATGTTGAAGGGTCTGGGGGTGGGGCTGATTCAAGCAGCACTACACAAGACCTCAAAGTGTCTGGATCATGGGTCCTCACCCGTAACATGACTGATGACATTTTGGAGAGTGGCTTAATATCTTAGTTTTCCATCTCTAATGTGTAGTCAACACTAAATGTCAGAAGGATCCACAAAAGGTAAGTAAGCGGTGGGTTGGTGGCTCTCTGAGGACGGAAAGTCACAGCAACTGAGCCTGCCAGTTATCCCTCTCCCCAGGGAGGTAGGCAGACACATCCTTCCTCCTCTGTATGCTGTCCAAATGTGGCCAGAGATGTGAGGAGACTCAAGGCAATACAAGAGAATGTTTTCATTTCAGGATAGCTTGTAGAACCCTAACTTTGAAATAATTAAAACAGCTGAAAAATGTTGTGCAAACCCCAGCAAGGACAGTGAGGTGCCCTGTGGACGAACAATTCCATTCTCAGCTCCTTGAAGCAGTACTGTGCTATTTGCACTTGTCACCCTGGCCTTCCCTAGGACTCAGAGTTATGTAGTTTAATAAGTGACCATGGAACATACAGGTTTTCAGTACATTAGAGACATTTTAAAACACATTTCTAAACCTTGAGATCCATCTTCGGAGTGACTATCTAACCTTGATTTGGAAGACTGAGAAAGAAACGATCTTCAATTTTGAGCATTTTGATAATAACAACCATCAGACAAATAGAAAGAGATCTATCTATAAGGGTACCCAGGCATTTTCTCAAAACAATAAGAGGAGAAACTATAATAAATGGAAAGAAATTGGCTCTGGGATAATTCCAAAGGAGCCTATGAGGGTGACAGGGTGATTTGTGTCAACTGATGCTCCAGGGAGATTGTTTAATTTGAAACAAATGAATCTCTGCAAAGGGTGAAGGACCACAGGCTGGAGCTGGAATGAGCATCCATTGCTTCGGCTACTGCATGGAAACCTGGAGGTATGACAGTCTCACCTGCCCAAGTGTCCCCACATGCCAGGAGGAAAAGAATAATTGACTTCTCCACTCTGGGCCAGTGTCATGCTTTCTATCCATCCCTGGGACCTCTGTTCTCATCAGTTGAAAGTAGGGCATTAGGAATGAAAACAGCATGAAAAATGCTTTGCATTGATTCCTTAACCACCAGCTATTTCTCACCAGTCACAAGGTGCTAAGTGGGTCTTCATTTCCACCTTCCTACTGCAGGAAGCAAGGAGCACAAAGGCATACGGAGCTCTCTGAAACCACGCCTTAAATTGGCAGAACTAAGGAAGGTAGATTTTCTGTCCTTTTTTCTTTTTTGAAGGGAGAGTTTTCGGGTTGCCTGGAGGCCTCGGTAAGGGAATTAGAGGCCAAAGCAATGAAGGAAAGATTATGAATGATACCGCCCCGAGGCTCTGTAACACACGATTCAAAATCAGAGCAATTATAGATTGTAAAATCAAAAGGAGCCCGATACAGTTCCGAATTGTCCCATAA